CCATTTGAAGAGTTGACTAATATTTTAAACTTTTGTCTTGGAATATTAATTATTACAGTTGATTCAGTGTGCACTGATTGACAAGTGCTTGGAAGAGCACATCAGTGTTCCATAAATACTTATTATCTCATTGAATCTTTATACCCCTTATGAGATCCAAATGATCATTATTTACATTTTATAGAGGAGGAGATTGAGGCTTAGCAAGGTAGTGATGTGATTAGCTCAGGGTTTTTTTTCCTTTTATTCTCCAAAGTTTTTTTCATCCCATGTTCCCCTGGCCCATTACTGGTGGGATGGCAGGTTACAAATGATAGATAATACAAATTGATACATACTGCAAGTTGATAGCTAGTAGCATAGATAGATAATATAGATTGAAGGAGAACCCAAACACTATTCACATTTGGCTGATAAGCATTTTTGTGTTTTATGAATTTGAAGCTTAAGTACTTCTGCTGTAACTTAATACTTCAAACAAAACATCTCTGTTGTCTTATTTTCCTTTACTTGGCTTATGCTCCCCATTCAAGATGGGTATGAAAAATAGGACTCTTCTGACCATCTGCTAGCCCATAAGCAGCTGCTTTATTTCCAAATTTACTCACTAATATTTTCCTAAAGGCAGGGGGTATAATCAAATACTGATGATGTTAGTCCAGGAACAGCAGCTTCCAACAACACAAGGAAGTCTTGAAGAAGTAAGATTTTCTACAAATGATGTCTATCTAAGTATTCTCAAACAGTTAATCCTTATTAACAGATAATCTTGTCACATGAAATTTAGAATGCGTCCTGATTAATTTAAGCATTTGATACTGCTGGATTAATTTGTATGAGATTGTATAGAATAAAATAATATGGGAAATTTCAAGGATAAATGTTACCTGAAGCGCATCAAAACTCCATCTTAGAGATCCTTAAATCACTTTTAAAAGCTTATTCCAGTGTAAATATTACCCACATTTTTCAAATGAGAAAAATAAAACACTAAAGTAGCAAATAATTTGTTCTTGGTCATGTAGAGAATTGGAAAAAGGAATGTAAAGAAACCAGTTCTCAGAAATTTAAAGTCAGCTCAGTTTAACTATCTGACTAGTCATAATTGTATTAATTTATGCTTCATAGTCTGTAGTTCCCTACTGGTAAAGGTAATAATTTTTCAAAAATGAAAGAAAAATATGAATGGTGAGGAAGTTAAAGCCATCATGAGATCGCATAATTATGTTTAAAATTATAATGTGTTGGTCTACAGGAAGCAGAGGAAAAAAGCATGAGATAAACGGACCAACTAGAAATCTAGCGGAAAGTGCCTTCTAGGTTCTGAATGGTCTGTTCCTCACCATTTTATTTGGAACAGCTAATCGTTAGTTCTCCAGTCCCGTTGATTGAACCTAGAACCTAGAACCAACTCTTCTTCATAGGAGACTCAGTACAAGTAGAACAGTGATGTCGCAGGTGTTTTAGTTTAGACTACCCATATTGCTCTCTGAATGGAAATGAAACCCATTCTGGTTGAAACTGGTTTGGCAAATTACCCTCCTTGCCAGGCAGTAACAGGTAAAATACATACGAAGCTTTTGCTTTGATTATAACAAAATAGTGTTTCTTGGACCATTAGTACCTTTTATAATTTATTTTGTTTTTGTACTTTGTATCTTAAACCTTTTATTCTTAGTGCCAAATCTACATTAAAATGGATTTGTCCATTATTACTGGTGATTTTCTTAAAATCCTAGACTATAAAAAAAAATTGGGTTCTTAATAAGCCTTACCAGAGCATATGACCTTTGACCCAACAGCTGCCCCCTTTAAAAAAAAAAAAATGGGACCCATTCAATTCACAAAGACAGCCACTGCTACTTATAAAACTTTACAGATCGTGGAATTCAAAGGCAGACTGCTTTTTTGTTCTTGGATTTAAAAATACATGTACTTTGAGCTAAAATAACTAGATTAATGGCCAAGAGCCAGGGTAGAGATGGATTTTCCACTGTTCAAAGGGGCCAGAGTTTCCAGGGGAAAAAATTTCTGTAGCTAAAACTAAATAATAAGGAATTGAAGTATATGTTGAACTTTCAAGCTTAAAAACTTGTATTTTTCTCTGAAGCTTATTGTAGTCCCTTGTTTTAGTAGTTAACTTTTTTTTTCCTCCAGTAGCATCATTGGGATAGTGGTTTATGCTTGGTGTTAACTTTGGAAGTTCTCATTAATTCATTGTTTTTCATATTTTAAGATAGGACTTGCATGTAAACCTTTCAGGAATTATATCAAGAAACCAAATTATATTTTCCCCTTATTTGGCTGAACTAAGAATAATCTTAACACAGATCTAGGGTTCTTTTTATGACTGCTTATATGCTGGTAAGGGGGTTAGCTCTGTATCTGTTTCCTTATATTCTTATCCACTGAGACTCAGCATCATTAGGATAAGAATTTAAAAAAATTTTTTAAAGTTTTATCTTTTAATTAAAACTTAGGTTTTCGGGGTGCCTGGGTGGCTCAGTGGGTTAAAGCCTCTGCCTTCAGCTCAGGTTATGGTCCCAGGGTCCTGGGATCGAGCCCCACATTGGGCTCTCTGCTTGGCAGAAAGCCTGCTTCCTCCTCTCACTCTGCCTGCCTCTCTGCCTACTTGGTATCTTTGTCTGTCAAATAAATAAATAAAATCTTTAAAACAAAAAACAAAAAACTTAACGTTTTCAATACCAGACTTGGTCTCATAAGATTATTATAAGAATTTTTTAAAAGAAATATTTGAAAAGTAGTTTTATCTTTTTATTAAAAAGTAATTATTTTCTAATGAAGTTACTAGATTTTAAAAAATTACTGAAACTCATACATTGCTGATGGGAATGTAAAATGGCACAAGCACTCAGGGAAATAGTTCAGCAGTTTCTTAGAAAGTTGAACATACAGCTACCATGTGACACAACAGTTGAACTCCTAGATATTTATCCTGGAGATATGAACACTTATGTTCACAGAAAAGCCCGTATGTGATTGTCCATGTCAGGTTTATTTGCAACTGCAAAAGACTGTAAACAACTGAAATATTCAGTGGGCAAATGTATAGATTGTGATACATTCATGCTATGGAGTACTACCAGCCAAAAAAGGGGATAAATTACTGATAACTCCCAGCAACTTGGATGGCTCTTATGGACAGTGTGCTGAGCGAAAAAAACCAGTCTCAAAGGTCACATTCTGTATGATTCCATTTATATAACATTCTCACACTGATAAAATTACATTGATTGAGATCAGTGGTTGCCAGGACTGTTGAGGAGGGTGTGGCTATAGAGGGGTAACATGAGGGAGGTCATTGTGTTAATGGAATATTTCTATAACTGTGATGATACTTAAATCTGTATATGTGGTAAGATTTCATGGGAACAATGCACCCTCTCCCCCAAATGAGTGATACAAAAACCAGTAAATACAATAAAGTCTGTAGTTTAGCTAGTAAGTGTTGTACCATTGCCAGTTTCCTGGTTTTGATACTGTACTATGTTATATAAGTTACATTTAGAGGAAGCCTACCTGAGAATTCTGTGGAGTTTCACTTCTGTGAAGTTACAACTTCTTGTGAATGTTAAATGATTTCAAAATAAGCTTAAAAACAAAAGTGGGACTTGAGAAAAGATGATGGACGTAGCAGCTGTGGCCACAGGTCCGTGTGATCAGGTATTGAGCCTTACCGTCTTACAGAGAGACTGGTAGAGGAGTCATCCTTGGCTTTGGGGCTTTATGGCTGTTGGTCGTGAATGGGGCTCAGACAAGGGGCTCTAAAAACACGGGATGCATGGACTGCCAGTTGAGCAAAGCAGATTGGCCATTTTTCCCCCTTTTTCTTCTAAGAATGCATTGAATTGACAGCAACGGATCTTGAAAAGGAGGTGAGGGGGGTACCATAAACCCATGGTGTTAAGGCTTGAAGAAGACTTTAAGAAGACTTAGCAGTTGATAAAAGACCTAAGAAGATTTGGGGTGATAGAAAATGGACAGAGGAGTGGTAGCTGCCTTAAGAAAACCTAAAGAATCTGCAGTGGGAGAACTGATGAAGGCTGAACCATTCATCCCCAGAGGCTGAGGAGCAGTCCCACAGAAGGTGGGGATGGAGGAACACCCAGGGCTAGAGTAGGAGTTACACAGTTTGGTTAAACTGCTAGTTTTCCTTTCCTACCCCAACCACCAGTACTACCAGCAGCTCCCTCTGCCTGGCAGACTGGAGATTTAAACTTAGGGTATGTTGAATCAGAGGAGTTCTCCATGTGGAAACACCATTTCCAGGAGGAAATAAATCCTGGAGTTGGAGTAGAGAGGAGGGTAGTTCAGTAAAAATCAGTCCAGTAAACTGTGGAATTCCCAATCCACTCCCCTTCGTGATGGGGAAAGCTGAGCCGGTGATTGTCTCTTCCTCTACCCTTAACAGAAAATGAGAAACTTCTCTGAAGAGACTCAGTGGACCCTGGTTACTGTCACAGGGCCAGTTTCTCTATAGCTGACTTGTCCAATCACTCCAAATGAACCTGCTAGTCAACAACCACCCTTTGTTTACACCCACACCCACAAGCTTCAAGCCACCATTCTAGGGCTTTACTCTCAAATACGAACTGGCGATCAGGTATCACCAGATGTTTGAAAGCCTCCAACATAAAAGACAGATGGATACCAAACAGTGAAAAGAAACAGTCAGGAGATAATATGGGAAACTGGAAGGTATTATTTTCAGTTTATTCAAATTAGAGACAATATTCACAAAACAAGAACAGGATGCTTTTAAAAAGGAATAACCAGGGGTGCCTGGTTGACTTGGTTGGTTAAGCATCCAACTCTGGGTTTCAGCTCAGGTCATGATCTCATGGGTCATGGAATTGAGCTCTGCACTGGGCTCCACACTCAGCGGGAGAGTCTGCTTGAAGTTTCTTTCCTTCTGACCCTTCCCCTGCTCTCATGCTCACTCACTCGTGCTCTCTCTCTCAAATAAATCCTGAAGAGAAATGGGGGTGGGGCATGGGAGAATAACTAAAAACTCTGAAAGAGCCCTAGTGGGGACTCTGCTCAAGATTCTGTCTCTCCTCCCTCTGCCCCTCCCTGCCCTTGCATGCACTCCCTGCCTCCCTCCCTCTCTCCAGAATAAATAAAAAATGAAATAACATAATAAGAGTTGGAATGTGAAGTTACCTGTCAGAAATGGGGAAATAAAAGTGGAAAATTAGAGAAAAAAGGTAAAATGATTAGAGAAGAAATCAGGATATGTAAAATATTCATCAGAATTCCAGAAATTAGGGAGAGAGAAGAAACAAAATAGGAACATTTTTCAGACCTAAAGGATGTAATTTTTTTTATATGGAAAGGGTGAATCAAGTGCCCAATAAAGTAAATGAAAAAATTCGCACACCAAGACAGACCACTATGTAGTATACAGGGCTTCCAAAAATAAGCATCCCCCTACAAATTCCTATACAAAGGAAGAAGAAATGATGGCTGACTTCTCAATAGCAAAACTGGATGTTAAAAATAGTGGGGCAATATCTTTAAAATTCTAAAAGAGAATCACTTGAGCTCTGTAATACTCTACCCAGCAAAATATCAATCAAATATCAAGGTAAAGGTAATTTCAGACACATGGGGACTCAAATTTATCTCTTATGCATCATTTCTTAGGTTGCTCTTGGAGAATGATCTCCAGCAAATAGGAATAAATGAAGAAAGAGGAAGGTGTGGAGTCCAGCTAATGAGAGCTCTAACACAGGGGATGGGAAAGGGATATGTAAGGGTAACAGTGTGGCAGGGACAGTCAGGCCAGACTGAGCAAGAGGACAGAGAGTCCTTGGACGAAGTTCTGGGGGAAAATGGAATGGAAGCTTAGCTGACAACTTTGTGTGTTAACTTTGTGCGTTGAGAAATACTGATAGACTTCTGCTAGATGTGGTAGAGCATGTCGAAAAATTTAAGGTGGATTCATGGAAAACTAAGCGAGGAGGAGGGGGATGAAATGATTGTTAATCCCAGGAGAAACAAAGACTGTACCAAGAAAGGAAACCTAATCCTTAGTACATTCCTTTCATTGTATGACCGATATTTACAAAGTCCTAATAACCCTGACTATCGACTTACCAGGAAATTGCTGTTTAATTATGTAGGAAGGATTGAAGTAGGGGAAGAGGGGTGGTGTGGAGAGCTGAGCCCTCATCTACTATAGTAGAAAGCCAGTGGTTATCATCCAAAATTTGAAAAATCAAGAATATTATCCCAAACTTTGGAAATAAATACAAGAATAGCGGGTTAGTTGAAAGTGCTCTTGGGAGTAAGTTCAGGTTTGAGGGAAGGTTGAGCCTGGGGTTGTTTTTCATGATAAGCCTTTATCACTGTTTGATAAAATAAGTTATTATGTTCTCTCTGTACTGATTTATAAAGGAGAAGCTTTTTATCCAGCAGAGCATGTATATCAAGTATCTGCCTCTTTGAATGTTGGGTATTTTTCATTCTTTTTATTGCTTGGTCCTCTACAAACAGGGTTCACATTTTGAGGGGTGGGTAAGGAGACTTGAGTGGTCTGCCTGGAATGATTAATGCTGTGAAGCTCATTATTCATAGGTGTAATGTATTTGTAGATACATTCATTCGCCATGTGTTCTCAGTCAAGAAGTCAGAGCCCATAAGAATGATCTATTGTCTCTACTTTGATTTCGGATATTTTAAGTTTAGAACAACTGTCTAAATAATTGACTGTCTCAATACTTACCATAGTATTTGTCTCTATGTTTATGACTTTATAGTGCTACAGGAATGACACTTTTAGAAATGAAAACCATAACATTTTCACAGCTATGACATCATGAAATCCAGGATAGGGAAACCGTGCCTTCCCATCTACTGTGTGCATAGGACCTACCACTTGGTGGTTACTACATGAGTACTTACTGAATGAACAAGATCTCTTAGAAATTTCTGTTCAATTGGTAACCAAGACATTGCTCATATAATTAAGTTTCGATCATGTGCACCTGTTTTTAACACTAGCCTGACAACCATTAACCTACTTAAAACCCAAAGGAAGCATCAGCTTCTGGGCCCATAGTCCCTGTGGGGTATGCTTGTAGGTATGCATGTCTGCTACTTGCTCCATTTACAGTAGGTTCTGGGCAGCCCTTGGGCAATGGAAAACTGACAGGATTACACACGCCTTGCTGGTGCAAGAACCCTGTTCCATCCGTAAGGAAATATATGCTTTTTATTATTTCGGAATAAACGTTCATGGCTTTGTAGACTGTACTGTCAAGCATACTTAGGTATCCCAGGCTATTTAGGGACAAAATCTAAAGATGATTTGATTTACTGTTTGCTTACTTATTAATTTGTTTGTTTTATTTGTCAGAATGTTATGGAACAGTTCAATCCTGGGCTACGAAATTTGATAAACTTAGGAAAAAATTATGAAAAAGCTGTTAATGGTAAGTCTCTTTTTTGAATTTATAAATATAGTGCACATAGAAAAACTGTTTAGTCGATATTTTACTTAATTATTTTGAAGTGCTTAATAGCGAAATTTTAAAATATCTTTAAGTTGGTAGAAATTATTTAATTCTATGGAAGTTTGCAATGATAGGATATTAGTGTATTTGAAATGAATAAATGGAAGACGATGGAACAGTCTTTTGACTGTTGTGATACATTTAATGATCAAATCATGGTTATTGATGTGACTCAGTATTTTATATCATTACTGTCAATATGTTTTCCACTTTGCAAAGCAAATTCTTTGTGAACTAATAACATATGAAATGCGTACTTAAAATATTTATTAGTATTTTGTAGCAGAGGAATTGTTCTCTTTATAAAGAATTTCTTGCTTTTGGGTGTATAACTTTTGATAGTGATATCAGCACATTTTTATCCTGAATGGAAAAACATCTAAATTAAAGGTTGAACTTAGATTCTCATTTCAAAATGAGTGCTTCCTGTAAAATGAATTCAAGCATTTGCTATTGTCTCTCTTTGTGAACCAGACTTGCTTGCTAGTTTCAGGAGGTTTCATTTGAGAAAGCTGACCTGCATCTACACATGCATTTCCCTACTAGAAAGTGAATGTTATCAATGATCACCTTAAAAACTTGAGATGCTGGGGCGCCTGGGTGGCTCAGTGGGTTAAGCCTCTGCCTTCGGCTCAGGTCATGATCTCAGGGTCCTGGGATCGAGCCCCACATCAGGCTCTCTGCTCCGCAGGGAGCCTGCTTCCTCCTCTCTCTCTCTCTCTGCCTCTCTGCCTACTTGTGATCTCTATCAAATAAATAAAATATTGTTTTAAAAAAAAAAAAAAACTTGAGATGCTAATAATCACCAAATTCTAACATGGTCAAAACAATTCTCCTTATGTAACAAGCGTCACCCCCAAAATATTCAGACCCCAGTTTCACCCTCTACCCTGGTTCACTAAGGCCACCAAGTAATGTGAGTAAATTTAGTTTCCAATAGTTTTAGATTTGAAGACTTCAGATCAGGATTTGTGTCTTTTATGTATAGCTTGTTTCTCCTATTCACCATGGCCCACTTTTGGCTGCTCCCTCTTGAGATTTTTGAGAATAAACCCCTGGACTTACACACTTTGAGCATAAGCGTGCCCCAGGAAAAGGGGGTATGGTAGCTAGACTTCGGATGACAGGTGTCCAGTTGTCATACTCATAGAAAAGTAAAGTGCTTATTTACTATCTTCAGTATCAGTGATTTCTGTAGGTAACCCCTCACCCCTTCAAAGAGCAGGACGGAGACTTGTTTTAGAATTCTTGCACAGCTGACTCTCCCTTGATGGCTGCTTAGTCACAAGGCCACAAAGTCATTGCCTTAGATGCCCGTGTGAAGTAAATCACCATGACCTGCAGTGTTTTGTTTTGTTTTTGTTTTGTTTTCTTTCTAGCACTTGCTACCTCTCTGAGGCAGTTATATAAGGTGACTCAAGGACCTGCCAGCAGCTTAGTCTCTTGCTAACAAGGCTTTTCCCCAAAGGGACTATTCTGCACTTTTAAAGTATTCCCAGTTTTTTTTTTCTTGCAGGCCATCTGTTTTTTACTGAAGCCATTGAGAAATGAAGATGAATTTGTAAAGTCCTTGGTAAGAATTTGTAGCATAGTTTAGGATGCTAGATGTGCAGTCAGCACTTAGGTCATAAATCAAGACAACACGCAGAGCTAACAAAGAGCACGGAATGAGCAGTGTCACAGGAATTTGAATAGTGAAGGTTGGTGGGAAACAGAGCAGGCAGTGGGCCTTGTAGGAGGTGTGCTAGCTGACAAATGTTAGGTTTCAGGCAGAAAAGACCTCATCCAAGCCTAGATCTGAGGTCCACACTGGTATGGGTGGGAAGCTGTTGGGAAATAATAAAATGCAAGTGGAGTAGGGTCAGGTTCTTAATGCATTTGAATGCAGCATCAGTTACCTGTTGTCAAGTTATCAAGGGTCCCTAACTTGGTGGCCTAAGACAACAATATTTTATTATTTCTCAAGATCCTGTAAAGGCAGTGCAGTTCTCTAGCCCCCAGGGGTTCCATCCTACAGCTGTAGTCAGCCAGGGATGCTGGGCTCCTTCCCTCCCTCTTGGGAGCATAGCAGGCTGTTGCAAGAACGCAAACACCTGAGGGAGTTATGCTTGCTGGCATCCCATTGGCAAGTCAGATGACCAAGCCACACAAGATATATAGGCGACTACAAAGGTTGGGAATTCTGGGAGGTGTGGTTTATTGAAGGCCATTACTGTACAAATCTATCATGAACTCTGTGGCGTATGGGCTTACACTATGGGCAGTGGAGGCTATTATAAGTTTTGATCAGAATTGTAACCTAATGAAATCATATCTTAAGAAAAAATTCTCTGGCAGAAGTACATAGATTGGTGAATTAGTCGGTCAGCCACTAAAATAGAACAAATATGCTTTGTTTCCTTAAGACAATAAATGGTAGAAACTCTCTTAATGTATTCACAAAGTGGGGATGGCAAAATTATGAGAATACTGTTTGATTCTTTATTAAGTTCTGGATAAATTATATAGTTTTTAAAGTTAACTCCACTTTATGGTAAAAGCAAGAGTATTTTGCCATTCTGAGGTTAGTTTTAAACATAAGTCATCAGTTAATGAAAAATGTCAATGTAATGCGTGAAGGCAAACCAAAAATTTTGTTTATATATTGTGTAAACCTTAATGCTGTTCTCCCACTGATCTGCTTTTCAGCTTTATCAGTATCTTAAAATTTAAAATCTTCACATTAAAATATTGCACATACTAGCGTGACAGTTTATTGGCTACCAACCTTGTTTTTAGGTGGAGTCTTCCCTTTTTCAGTTATAGCTGAGATCAAAGAGTCAAAAAGCACTATAACTGAACTGAGGAGGTGACCTTTGCTGTAGTTTCATGCACTCCCTCTGATTTGCCACTGACCTTGGGCATGTCCCAGCATATCTCCACTCCACTCTCCTTCATGAAACAGGGTGATAAAACCACTGACCAATGTCTTCATATTCTTGAAAAACTTAACTAATGGCATGGAAGGTCCACATAAATGCTACTTGTTATTGTTCTTTTTTACAATTATACTTTAAGGTTATTCTCAGACTTACGAAGTAACTGTATAATAGAGTGTTAGAGTTGTTAAACTTGTACACATATAGTAAAAGCCAAAAAATCTGTAACTTTTTAACTCAACAAGAAATGCTGAAATGGATGAATTTGCCATGAAAATACTACTTTTTTGGCCAGTAATATCTTCAGCTGGACTTGTACATAATTTGTTCTGTGACCTCCCCCTTTTTATACTTGAAATGCCTTTTTAATTCACCATTTTAAAACAATACCCATCATAAAATAGGGGGAAAGTAGTTGGTTTGGCCTCTGGTTTTCTTCACAGTAAAAGGAAAGGAATCTTAGAGATTCCTAAGGGCTCTTTTAGCTCCAAAATTCTGTGTTCTTCAAAGTTCATCTTTGAGTGAAGTAAAACAAATTTTCTTCAAAATCACCCTAAATAGGCTAGGTCTTGCTGAAAAGCCTGGTGGTTGTAAAATGAAAGAAGGAATTTGTATTAATAACTTTTTATTTGTTTGTTCAGTGGTCATGCTATTAAGACATTTTATTTTTATTTTTTTTTAAAGATTTTATTTATTTATTTGTCAGAGATCACAAGTAGGCAGAGAGGCAGGCGGGGGGGAGGGGGAAGCAGGCTCCCCATGAGCAGAGAGCCCGATGAGGGGCTCAATCTGCGGACCCTGAGATCATGACCTGAGCCGAAGGCAGAACACACTGAACCACCCAGGCGCCCCATTAAAACATATTATAGATGACCGTCCTTTGTTTCAGAAAGGATAGCTACCTTGCCAAGGAAGTCATGTTATTAGAAGTGAAGGTGGAATTCAAACTCAGGTTTCTCTTGCCCTCAGTTCCTCTCCCCAAAGAAAAAGAAAGGAAAAGAAAAATCAAAAACAGATTTTTGTACCTTATAATATAGTCATCAGAATCAATTTGAAAGGAGAGCTACTATTTTAAGATGATTAGTTTCTACAGCAATGAAAGTTTCCCTTGTCTCTGCCAGAAAGTTGGTGGGGGCAGGATAGAACCTTCAATTATTTTTCAGGTCATTCTTTTGTGTTTTTAGAATGATAATGTATTTCAAATCTCGTAGGTTTTTTTCCCTGACAACAAATATATTATTGGTTGTGGCTCAGAATACCTTTTTCTTTCTTTTTTTTTAAAGATTTTATTTATTTGACAGGGAGCAAGCGAGAGAGAGAGAGAGAGAGAGAGAGAGAACAAGCACAAGCAGGGGGAACGACAGGCAGGGGAGAGAAGCAGGCTCCCCACTGAGCAAGGACTCTGATGTGGGGCTCAGTCCCAGGACCCTGACCTGATCATGACCTGAGCTGAAGACAGAGGCTTAAAACCGAGCCACCCAGGTGCCCCTCAGAATACCTTTTTCAGGGGTGCCTGGGTGGCTTAGTTGGTTAAAACCTCTGCCTTTGGCTCAGATCATGATCCCAGGGTCCTGGGATCGAGCCCCACATCGGGCTCTCTGCTCAGCGGGGAGCCTGCTTCCTACTCACTCACTCTCTCTCTCTCTCTCTCTCTCTCTCTCTGCCTACCTCTCTGCCTATTTGTGATCTCTGTGTGTCAAAGAAATAAAATCTTTAAAAAGAAGAAAAAAAGAAAGACCAGGTTCCTGGGGCACTGCATACAAGTTCTTCTAACAATGCTGCAGACCTATAGAGCTGTAGAATAACCGGCTGAGGAAAGATTTCTTGCTGGAGTGGATGTGTTGCAGCCCTAATTTGATATTGAAAACACATCCACTCTGGAACTGGCATCATGATGAAAGCAGGGCCTTTTCTGGACTTCCAGAGCCTGCTATTGAAGGTTCCCCGGGATCCTAAGATGAGGATCTGATAGGGTTTTCCACTGAGTGGGGGCCTCTGGAAGTGCAGTGGAGAGATCCCTGTCCCTGGCACAGCTATTAAGCACCAGCCCCACCTTCTGAAAGCCACCCTTGGCACAGCCCAGACCTTCCTGTAGCCAGAAGGGACTGAGAGGTATTTGGAAGCAAACCTCCATGGCACTTTCTCTTTTCTTTGTCTAAGTGATGATTTTTTGTGTCACTTTCCTTGTCTAGCTATGATCCTTGCGGGAAAAGCCTACTACGATGGAGTGGCCAAGATTGGTGAGATTGCCACCGGGTCCCCCGTGTCGACAGAGCTGGGTGAGCCGACTGTCCATTATATACAAACACAAGTCAAGCTGGTTGCAGGGCCTTTCCTCCTGTGAGCCCTAACAGGAACATATGAAGTGGCCCAAATCCAGAATAGTAAGAGCTAGCCCAGTACTCCAGTGTGTTCGCTTCTAGGATGATCGAGTTTGCTGTGTCTGTGGAAAGTGGAGGCTTAGTTAGAGGGCAGGCCAAGGCCAGTGGCTGGCCTCCCTGCTCCCTAGGAATTGGGCTTCTGCCTCTAAACTTGGGGCCCTAGCCCTTCCGCTTGGATCCCTGGAGCATGAAGCCCAGGGAGCTTTGACCTACATTCTTAAGGAGATGGGCACGGTGGGCCTCCTGACTCTGGCAGGAGTGTTTCCTGTGACTCACCTAGCAGAAAGTCAGACTCCTTTACGTCCTGCTCTTGGCTCTCGCTGCTTCCACAGTTGCTCTCAGTTGTGATTTTTCCGGTTTTGCTGGTATGAATTGATCTCCTGTGCGCACCCGAAGGGCAGCCACACCCTCAGCACCACCAGCCTCCGAGGGTATCTAGGTTTCTGTCTACAGAGTCCGTTCACTGCGCCCTCTCCTAAGGGGGGAAAAGTCGCTGTTTTTCCTTTTCTAATAGCCCCACACATAACCATCATTTTAAAATCTTGATTAAAGAATGAAATATGTTTTATTTTAAATATGTTTTATTTTACGAGGGGTAAGCTGTCTGGCTTCAAAATGTCTGCCATAATTTGAAATGTTCAGAATAGCAGAGGAAAATATTGGTGGAGTGTGTGTATTTAAAGAAAAGTGTTTTGGGGCACCTGGGGGGCTCAGTGGGTTAAAGAAAAGTGTTTCTCCGATTAAAAAGCAGAAAGGGAAGCTGGGGTCGGGGGGAGCTTGTGGGGAGCATACATTTAGGATTCAAATAATTCACATCATTTCTGTATAAAGTGTCTTAAGTGTTTTCAAGATTGCTTGGAGAACTCTTACCTGACCCATAAAAGTGGAGGAACAAATTCAAGGTGTGATAACAGTGCTGGGATTGGGGGCTGGGCTGCAGGATGTGAAGTGGAACTGGGCGCTCAGGAACATTCTCTGACAACTTCGGTTCTTGAAGGGTTTGTAAAGAGTCTTGAAACCTAAGCCTGAAGTGATGTCGTGTGATAAATAAGTCCATACTGCTCTATTTAGTAAAATAGAATAGTTATATGCAGAAATTTTTCAAAGCCCTGACTTGTGTTCGGTTGGTGCCGTCACTTGTGTGTGTTCTGGCAAGGTATGGACTCTAGAAACTCGGTCCTCACCAGAATCCGTTTAATAAAATACATGCTTCTTTGTGTAGACAGAAGCAGATAGTAAAACTTACTGGGATGATGGAGATGATTAGAGGTTTCCAAAAATAGGATTAAATTAAAAAGAAACATCCTATTTGTGTCAGGCACCATGGGAAAACGTATGACCCCTACATTAAACCATATGGTGCTCTGATTCACCATCGTTCAGTTTGCCTTTTTAATGTTTTATGGTTCTCGCCACTGTTTAAATAAGATTTCTGTTCCACACCTTACTTTATTCAGCTGTGAATTCATAACGTTGAGTCAGCCATTTCCACAGCAACTGTGTTGTTGCAAACACGGGCTGAAAACTTCTTCAGTTTGGACAAGGAAACTACGTCGCAGTGGTGAGATTTCTTTCATGTGGATGTGCGTTCTCTTTGGAGGGAATGGAAATAACTTCTGTGTTTTATTTTTGTTTCAAGTTGCCTTTTTGCTTATAGTCCCCACGTCATATAGTTAGTAATTTTCTGCTCATCTGCAGCAATTTTACAATAAAGTGCTGCTCTAGCAAGCTTTGCTTTTGGACGCCCCGTGTTTAACTTGTTTTCATGTGCCTGGTTTTTTATTTTGTTTAAAGTGTAGGCTAAAATACTACCCTATGTCTGTTTAAATCCCATGTATGAAAGACTAATGAAAAATTCATAGATGAAAGAGCCCTAAGGTAGATTCTGTTTCTCTCATTTTTCAAGAAGGTTTTTTTGTCTAATTACGGACTTTTGGTGTTGGTATTCCTACTTTATTATGAAACATTATAAATCCCATCTGATAAAACTGAAGGGGCATTTCATATGTGAAGATCATGAATCAATTCAAAATTTTCATTCTTGAAGAGTATTGTCTCTGAAAAACCTTTGTGTGTGTCCCTCCCCTCCATCCCCAGCAAACCCTAGTTTTAACCCACTGAGCCACCCCGGCGCCCCAAAGATTTTATTTATTTATTTGACAGCAAACACTAGTTTTAAAATTTCAGTTTAAAAATTTTGCTCAGGAAGGAAGTGAAAGGGATGCTGAAGAATTCTTATCCTTTCTAAAACTGAGATTATAAGAGTAGTTTTCATTTTAATATTGAATTCAAATATTTTTTAATGTTGCTGTAGGACAACCTTTGTGATTTTACATACTTTTTTACGTGAAGTTTCTGTTATTTATTCTGATACTTTTGTACTTTGGGAGGTGGATGAAGAAAATATCCTCTAGGTAAAATATTGACCTAATTCATAGAAATTTGCTGTGAGGATTCTACTTGGAAAACCTGGCCAAATGTATTATGAGTGTTAATTACAGTGGCAGAACTGAGCATTTCAGTCTCTCTTCTCACATTAGGGGGAAAAAAGATCTAAAAGCTGGAGGGAAAAGGTGATTCACCTTTTGCTTATTTTATACTTGTCATTTGGATTGGCATCCACTAGGAGCTGTAGCCATGCCATTTCTGATTCCTGGCTACGGGTGTTTCCATTTAGATATCCCTCTTAACACATCAGCTCACCAAATACTATGTGAATAATTTTAAGGTGCTCTTGCCTAAAAGTAACACATACCCAATTAATAGTGGCTTAGGCATAAAGGATGTTCATTAGCACACATAAGAAGGCCAGAAGTAGCAGATGCCTACTTAGGTAATGATTACTAAGAGCTTAGGTTCCTTCTCTCTTTCTTTTCATCCTCAAGCTCAACTCATAGTACCAAGATGGCTGCCATTGCTAGTCTTAGGCATCACATCCTCTCTCCTCCCATTGTATCCAAAAGCAGGAAGAGGAATTTCTTCTCAGTTGTGCCCTTTACAAAGAGGAAGCCTTTCCCTGGCAGCCCCAGCACATAATATCCTCTCATTTCTCATGACCCTGCAGCCAGAGAGCTTTCCCCAGCATTGTTAGCCAAGGAATACATCTGAGGGGGAGAGGACATAGCTGCTAGGAGGACAGGTATTAAAGGTCTTGTTTCAGCAATTTTCAGTGAAAGGAAAGGCCTTATACAAATGTCCTTGCTTTAGCTATGCCTCGAACTGCATAGTGCTTCTGGCATTCTGTGTCTCTGTGGGATTATGTTTTTCTCCCACATGGAGTATGGTTTCACTAGCATGTATATACCTCAGACATTACAATTGTTACTTCTCCTGGATACTTGCTTTTTCTGCTGAAAACCATAGCCATCTTTTGCAATCTGTTCCTATTTGGGACATGGAAACAGAGGAAGAGTTAGGGATTTTGGGGCAGTTTCTGGTTTTCTGCCCTTTTGTTTTTCTTTTCAGCCTTTGGGTGACTTGTAATCATGAACTCTGAGGTGCATTTTCTCTGCCTCTGCTACTTTCCTTTCTTTCCTCCTCTCTTCTTCCTCTCTGCCCATGTGTCTGTGTGACCTTACAGCCTCATTTTTAAGAAACTGGGGGACCAGAGGAAAAAAGTCACCTGTAATTTTACCACTTTGACACAAGTACTTTGTCACCACTATATTCTTTTCTGGTCTTTTCTTCTCTTGAGGATACTCATATACAGCATGTCTCACGGCATATGTCGGGTGCTGGCTCTGCCCGGCACAGGGCCCAGCGCCTGATAGGTGTTATTTAATCTCAAACACCCAACAGCCCTGAGTTGGGTGTAGACACTTTCACTATCTCTCTAGGTGAGACCTGGAAGGGAAGGGTGTGCCATAGATCATACAGTGGGTAATAGGTGGTTCAATTTTAGATTCTGAGTTCCTTGCCTTTGCACTATACCATGCTTGACTGAGGCAAAGAGAAAAAGAGCCAGCCAGCCAAGAAGGGGCCGCTGAAGAGGAAGAAGATGGGAACCCCACAATGGGGACCTTTTCAAGAGGGAGATGAGCAGGAAGCAGTGTCAGTGGCCAAAGACTGCAGAGAGGCTGGCAGCTGTGGTGATGAGAGGTCACTGGTCCCCTCGGAAGGGGTGGTGATTTCACTAAGGTGCTGACCGGAAATGCCAGGTGTCATGTTACAGGGTTAGGAAGGATGGAAATTACAGAGAAGTTTACATATATTTATGTATACATATACACATGTGTGTGTGTAAAATGTATGTTAGATAATATAGCATATATGGCTTTTATAGGTCCTGCTTGACTTTTGCACTTGCACTTCTGTGCCTCATACAGAAACTTAGATCTCATTAAGTGCCTGCCTGCTGTGTGTCCTGTACTTCATACACTGCCTCATCTCATCCTTGGGAGCCTCATGGATGAATTTTTCCTTCATGATTGGCAGGGTGGGCAATAACCCAGTGTTTTCCTTGATGTGACTAATACGCCCTAAGGGTAAACTTGGCAGTCACCTTCTTCCACCTGGTGGGTAACCACGTTGGGTCCTGAGTCCCTGATGATGTGCTCTGTAGCCAAGCAAGACAGAATAAGGGTTATAAGAGTTGGTGACTCCTAGAGAGTATGGTAGGTGACATCGGTGTCAATGTGGGTCATAGAGTGCCTCCCTCCCCAACTGAAGCATAGGAAAGATCCTAGAACCTAGGACAAGGAGGCCAGGCTAAATTTTATTTTCCCTTGAGACGCTGGCGGATAGCAGGATGCCCAGCACCTAAGAGATGCTCAGTGAGCTGCTGTCGACTTGTGTGACTTCGGGCAACATTTCATGTCTGTGAGCCATTGGCATGCCCACGGGGGATGACGGTAACCCCTTCTGAACTGTGTGAAGATGAAATGAGATAATGTGCCTTG